GGGAAGCTGCAACACAGAGGAAGATTAGGACATCACAGAGAAGAGCTGAAAAACCTTGAAGACTAGAAGAGAAAAGCAATTCAAAATACAAAGCATGCGTGTATGAGAATTAACAAATACTCCTACAAAGGGCAGCTTATGACTGGGAGAATACCAAAGAGAGACCTGGATACATTCAGGTCAGTCACAGTGTGAAGCAGCCACGGGAGAGGCAGACTGGAAGCCTAAAATGCAGCAAGAAAGCACTTTCAGAGACAGAAAGAAGCAGTAATCTCCTTGCACGGTGAGACCTCACCTGTGCTGCTCTGTGTCATTTCCGCCATCAAGTTCAATAAAATGGGATTTAACTGGAGCTGCTGCAGAGAATGAGTGCACAGGAGTGACTTACGAGGCAGGACAATATAATGAAAGAAGGTAACACCATAAGGTAAAAACTTGTTTAACCAAGGTAAACAAAGGCTTGAAGGAAATATAATTCCTTCACAATGTATTTACTGACAGCAAGCGCCGTGGAAGAAAAGTAAATACATTAAGGATAGAGCATTATATTAGTACAGAAACTATTAAAAAAAACCCAAACAACATATAAAAAGCTGCATGGGCCATGATTCCACTTCAGCTTGTAAAAAAAACCCAGTCATTAAAGCAGCAAAGCTCTAGGACAGCTTTTCAAGCAAACAGGGAGTTAAAGGACAATAGGAACTTCACATGATGGCCTGGGCAGTTCACCTCACCACCAACAATAATCAAATAAACACATGTAGGTAACTAGGAATGAGTCCCAGGTAGTACTGTAGCAGTGATGACAAGAAACCAGTCTTTCCCGGAGCAGAAACCAGCCTTTGCTGCACAGTGTCTCTACCTGCTTCGGAGCAAGCGGAACTGGAAGCCCCAATGCCCCAGCACGGCATGGACACAGGCTGCCAGCAAATGAAGAGATACCAGGATGACAGCCACGTGGGTGCCTTTTTGGGCATAGCTGCATAGCTCATCAGAAAACAGGACCTCTCACAAGCATGCTAAACAGTCCTCCTTTCTCTTCACGATTTCCCCCAGCAAGATTCACCACACAAAAATGAACATGACCCTTTCATATTTGCAGTTGCCTGTTGCAATCCAAGACAGCCATTCCTTGTCTAGCAACTGATTACCACTCATTAAAGGAATGGTGCTCTGTGGGCATTTCCCCCCCTCCTCCTTTCTAGTTAAGCATGAAGCAGGAAAAGAAGGGAGACTTCTGTTGTAGCATGCTTCATCTAAACCCTCTTGTGCCAAGTCCCCAACAACAGAATCATCATGTGGCCTTTGTTGCGAAGTTCAAAGCCTCTGGAAATAGACTGCAGTAATGGAAAGGCTGGCACAATTAGCTAAAAATATTTCTAATATTTACTTTATTAAAACAAAAAATAACCAACACCACACAATGAAAACAGGCGACTTCATTCTATATATTTAGGCTCCGGCCCAAAATGGGAGCGAAGGCGACGTATAAATAGAGGCTTTGTCAAGAAGCAGTGTGGTGTAACCTTCAGGCACAGAGCAGCTCTGTCCCTATCACAAGGGCTTTGCCCAAGCTCACAGCCAGCAGCTTCCCTAACCGTGTCTGCAGCACTGCACCGTGGGGCAAACACCAGTTTTACAAGTCTCAGCTTCTTCAAGGCAAGGACAGTATGTCTATACCTCAGGACTGCACGTGTCAGTGCGTGTCCTGGTCATAAACAAGACTGTCTGCAGTAATATAATAATTACAGTCTGGCTGGCAATCCGGTGTTTTTTGGGAGCAAGGCTGCCTGCAAGTCCTTCCCAAGCAGGAGGCTCGCTCCCAGCATCAGGCAGGGCCATCACCTGGGCGTGCTCCAAGGCCCAGCATTCAAGAAGACAGAGGACCACCCACCACAAAAGACATGCCACAGGGCTCTATCAGCGTACAGCCGCGTTCAGGTATCACACGTCCCATGTTTACTGCTATTCTGATCTCTCGCCCTCAATCCTCCACTTCCTTTTGATGACCACAACCTCTCTGATGCAAGGTCAAATACATAATTGAAATGACACGCCATAAATCAAGCCCTGGCTGCTGAACCAAGGCACCCATATGCTCTCGCCATACAGATCACAAGTGAAGCAGCGTGTTGAACTGGTTGCAGGAAAAGAGCCTTGTGCCAGCTGATGCCTCAGGCAAGTGTACAGCTCTGCGGGATGCTACAACATTGATAAACATCCAGCATATGGTCACAGACTACATTCAGAGCCAGTCACACCAGTAGCAAGTTACAAACGTGTATCAGAAGTTTGAGATTGAAATCTCTCTCTGCAGCTTGTCCAATTTCATATGCAAAGAGCAGGGGCTGGGAGAAGAAAACACCAGAAAGAAATGCCTTCAGACCCTTGGTATTACCTGAGGAATATTCAAAAGAGACAATTACCGTACAGGAGAACTCCTGAGGTGTTTAGAGAAAGGTATGCATTTAAGGAAGGAGGGAAAGTAGCTACCAGAGTGCCAGTCTAAGGTTATTATACAGCAAAATCCAAATAAAAATTCAGGTTGTACCTTAACTGAAGGAGTAAGAATAGTTCGCAGAAATTTTTCCAGCAGCTGTGCATAAGATTATGGAAATGGGTTTTGGGACAGTTCAGAACAACCCAGTTTACGTAAGCAAACCTGTTTTAATCCAATACATTTTAAAATGTGCTTATATTGGTTTAAGCTGCTGCGAAACCACATTAGATTGCTGGCTGCAGTGTAACAGCTCGATTAACGCGCTGAAATGGCTCAACCCAAGGTCAGACAAGGACCAGAGACTGCGCAAGGGAGGGTGCTGAACTGGGAAGCCACAGGTAGAGGAGAGCAAGAGAAGAGCCCTACAGCAGCCAGCAGCTCCCCAGGCTTCGGCGGCTGCGGAGCCAGCCCTCACTACCTTCTGCTGCTCAAGATTAACCGCAGCAGGTTAAGGTGCCCACAGGGCACCACAGTTGCAAACTTACTGCCAGAATCTACATTTACACAACACGGAAGTTAAACTGAGGACTGCAGCAGAGACATCTCCCAGTGGGACGATGGGACTTCAGGCCAATCCAGGACTGCAGCGTCGTGCCTTGGCTCTGGCACGCAGGCAAAACCACAAGCGGGTTTTAGCCTCAAGATGCTGCTCTCGTCGTGATCCAGCCACAGGCAGAGCACTCTGAGGGCAGAGCTGGTCCCCACGCACCCCTGCTGAACTCGGACACTGGCCAAGGGCTGCCAGCAGACCCCAGCCTCCTGGCCATCTCCCATGCAAGCAGCCCTGCCCACCTTCCAGGAGCATTTCAGACACTGCGCTGCAGGACACCTGGTTTTTGTGCTGTTAGTCACCAGCTCTTTTTCACTAGCAGATCTCCCTCGGTTGCTGACTTCACACATTATACTGCACCCCACTTTTAGACCTAGCTGTCCCCTCCCATCGTGGTGTCTTCCAGTGGCACAGAATAACACTAGTGCCAACTCTACAACCCTTCCAACTCCAGTCTCTCTTCCCTCCACTGCTGGGGCAGGGACCACTGGTAGGTCTTATCCATAACGATTTCATGTCGGTCTTAACGCAGCAGTCTTCAGTGGTGTTCTGGCCATCCCGTGCGATGTAATTAACATTGCTGGTCTATGCTGTTTCAGCAAAGTAAACTTTCTACTGCTACTTTGTGCTCCTTTTTAATTACTATGCTTGGTTTGGGTTTTTTTTGGTTTTCATTTTCTTTACCAGTGAAGCTGGAAATAAAGAGTTACAGCTAATAAAAAGGGGCACACGTAGTTACACAGCAGTACAGTAGAGGGAGTACAGGCAAATTAGCGCCAAGCTACCATTAACTTAACAGAATTATAAAACCTCTTATGTTCTATCACTCCATACCACCTTTCAGATGAGTCTTTTGCAGCCTATGTCTTGGTCCATAATAGGTAAGGCCTTTATGGAAAGTGAGTGGTTTTGCTATATTTATGTTCCATTTTTCATCTCCCATTCCTGGAAGGGGGAAAAAAAAAAAAAAAAGAAAAGAAAAAAAAAAAGAGAGAGAACAAGTGCACAAACAACTTTACATGTTAGCAATCCCCAGCTGCCACCAATCAGGGTGTGCCTGTGAGTCGTGTATCAGGCAGATAAGTATGCATAGTTTTCAAAGGAATCATAGTAGAGCAGTTTAACATCTAAATCAGACAAGCAAACCAAAATAACAAAGCAAAACCAGAAGAAAAGCATTAGGGTAATTCGATGCAGATGCCTAAAGCTGAGTGCCAGTTCAGATGTGACTAGTAGCTACAGTCACCAGGATGAACATGAAGAAGCTGTCTTTGCTAATGAGCAAACAGATTTTAACTCCGTTCTAAGAGCCACATTCTGCCTTATTCTAATTTCATATGCACTAAGCACAAGGAAACCACTTCCCAGTATGTGGGGTGGGGGTGGGAGAGGAAGAGAGAGACCATTCGGTCCTCAATGAATACAGGATTCAGTAGAGCCAAGGCTTCACCCTGAGGACTTTGCAGCTGTTACACTGATCCTTACCCGGCTCCGACTCCTGACGCAAACCTGTAATCAGCCGCACAAACAGCAAGAGGCAGACAAAGATGTTTTCCTGTCCCAGAGGAGAAGTGTCCCTTTCCTTCTTCATGAATTCCCCACCCCATGCTTCAGCAACAGGATGGGGAACCATCCTAACGATGGTGGGGGTGGGGGGAGAGGGCTGCTGTATGAGTTCACTGCAGGTGTACCTATAAACTTGGCATAACCCTGGTTATTGTTCATTCGGTAGAAGCCCCGGAGCACACGCTGCTCATGACTTGCAGAGGAAGTGAATCAATGTGAAGAGTTTGCACAGGTTCATTAGAGAGACATCCTTTTACCAGCCTCAACAAACTCAGGTCAAGGGAACAGAAGTGCTGAGAAATAAAACTCCCCACTGATGCTGATACAGAAAGTTAACGTTTCCTGACCAAAATTACACTGAAACAAAACAAAACTAAAGTTTACCTTCTCTTGAGCCGACTTTACAACACTAACAACCTGTTTAACTGCTAGCTCAAGCGGTTCTGGCGGGTCATCTTCCTCAAATGTAAGCAACTGTGAATCCTAAGGAAGAAGAAAAGAAAAAAGCATCGTTAGGTGATGAGAACCCATCCCTTGAAAACAAGTGATAAAAATGCAATGCCAGCGAAGTTCCTGGAAGAACCAGAGACAGAATTGCAAATGTATGTCAAAACTTGTATGTATTAATTGCATGACAACTCACTACACAATACAGGGTAGAGCTTGAATACCTATACTTAGGACATAACTATGGGCCTAATCATAACTCATCTTTCACTGCAGCAGAACACCAAGGTACACAACACAGAGCGAAGACCACGAGCAGTGGTAGAGTTCAGTGAAACCATTCTACTTGAATAAGGATTAACCGGTGCTGTAGTTTTAAAAGGCATTGTCAGTTTGGCCTAATAAAAAATGGGGGGAAAAAAAATGGGGAGTGGGAGGGGAAGGTCATGCAGCTGCACTAGTCTATGCCAAAACTAAGAAAATCCAAGTATCATCCTGCAGAGGTGAGGAAAGAAGCCTTCCCCTCCCCAGTCCTTTCCTCATGTGTTAAAGGCAGGCAGCGATGACAGCTATTCAGTCTTCACATAGACAGCAGGGAAAAGACAGCATATACCTGTTTTGACAGTGAGGTCATACTTTCAGAGGCATCACCACTCGCATTCTCCACTCGCTACCCACACCGGGCGGTCAGAGCCGCTTCCCTCGTCACCCGGGGTTGTTTTGCACGCAGGAATGTCATTAGCTGTGTGATGCTGACATTGTTTTGGGAGCCTGACAGCGGGAGCAACGCCACGCTGCAGTGCCAGGCAGTGAACTCATGGGAAGAGACGGCTCCAGCTGCTCGCCTCCCCCCCATCTAAGTGGCTTCAGAGTCTGGTCAGGGATGGGATGGGAAGCTGTCGCTTGTTTCTAGTTACTTTCAGTTCCCAGCACCCCTGCCCGAGCTGTCTGGGCTCTCCTCTTCCACAAGCACCAGGCAAACCTTCTTTTCTTAGCACAACCCATGCTTTTCTCAACTGCACCGTGCAATTTGAAAGGGCAGACGAAGTATTTCCCTTCTGCTGCCCTAGCGTACAGTGATGTCTGGAAAGTGTTAAGCTGCTTTCCTTATCTTTCACAAACACACACATTGCCCTGCTCTTCCTTCTCCCCCAGCCTGCCCCCTGACATGTAAGAAGCAAGCACGCTGGGAATGGAACCTCCTAGATGTATGGAGAGGGCTGTGCACAAATTTGGACACCTGGGTACAGGCTGCTTTCTAGAGAGTTTAGCTGCAGCATTTTCCACTGACGCGGCACGGGTTCAGTCCTCAGGACCAGGGAATTAGGTTGCCACAGCCTCAACTAACCTCCTCGCTTCTTCGACCCGGGCACGCCGCTACAAACCACCAAGCGGGATGTCACGCTGTGCCCGCTGCAAGAAGGGTAGGATGGGATGGGAAGGGATGGGAAGAGATGCCACATTTTCTGCATTTCTTACCTGACCCAGGCTAAAAGCCAACTGGCCAAAACCTGAGAAGCCCACCATCCCACACCTGTCTGGAGAAGGCTAGTCCTCAGCCTTACTCTGACATGCATGTAGGTCCGGCGTGGCCTAAGACAACACGAAGGAAGCCCAGCCTCTGGGAGTCACTTGCCAAAAGAGCGGCTGCAGGCCCCGTGCTGGCGCCCAGGCCAGGAAATTTCCATTGTTTCCTCCTCCCCGCGCCTGAACAATGTTATCGGCAGCAGCGCAAACCCCTGCCAGGGGCCGCGGGGGTCATGGCTTTCCTCCCCGTCCTGCCCCGCTCCCACGCGTGCGCCCACTCCAGGCCTTGGGTTGGCTCCTTCCTTCAAGCATCTGCCAAGCAGCCTCTTGTAGGTATATACACACACATATGTATGTACACATATGTGTATATATATGTATGCATATATAGAGAATCATAGAATGGTTTGGGTTGGAAAGAACCTTAAAAATCACCTTGTTCCAACCCCCCTGCCATAGGCAGGGACACCTCCACTAGAGCAGGTTGCTCAAAGCCCCATCCAGCCTGGCCTTGAACACCTCCAGGGATGGGGCATCCACAGCTTCTCTGGGCAACCTGTTCCAGTGTCTCACCACACTCAGAGTGAAAAAATTCTTCCTGATATCTGATCTAAATCTACCCTCTTCCAGTGTGTGTATATATATACGTACACACACACACACAGGTAGATACGCACACACACAGGCAGGGAGGGGCAGGCACACAGCGGCAGGCGCTGCCAGCAGCACGCTGACGGCACCCCCGTGTGCCTTCGGAACGAGTCCCACCGTCCCTACAGCCGCTCCAACCCCCGCCGGCACAGGACCACACGCCGCCCTCCCTTCTCCCCCTCCCGCCCCAACCCCG